CGTCGCTTATCCCGGGATTGCTGGAGCGAGCCGTGGCCTCTGTTTAAAGCGCGTTATAGGGCTCAGATCCTCAAAGTGCTTTGAATGTGGTTTTCTTCTGGGTGCATGCTTTTACAAAACACGCTGCTGCTTTGTCGGCGGCCCTTTGCAGGCCGTGGGCATCAAATGCTGCAGTGCCACGCGTTGAGCTCGGGAGCTGAACTGTCAGTAGCGCTGCAAGGTTCAGTCCCGGCTGGGCCTGGGGGTGCTCTGTGGAAATAAAGGGCCTTGTCCAGGGCATCTGCAAACATCTCTCATGTATACGTAGCACAGATAACAGAATTAATGTATTGCATCCCAAACTGCAGGTGTGTGGAGCTTAAACGGGAATGAATGTGAACTGTAGTTGCTAATGTCATCTGTGCACTGTGGCAGTGACTCCCACCAGAGGCTGGGCAGTCACACACTGAGTGCCAGTCACAGTCAGTGAGGGTCAGTCACAGTCAGTGAGGGTCAGTCACACAGACTGATTGTCAGTCACACACACTGATTGTCAGTCACACACTGTGAATGTCAGTCACACACTCAGTGTCAGTCACACTCAGTGAGGGTCAGTCACACACTGTCAGTCACACACTGAGTGTCACACACACTGTGAGGGTCAGTCAGTCACACACTGAGTGTCAGTCACACACACACTCAGGCTGATCGCTTCCAGCAGAGGACAGTGGTGCACACAGGCACTTGGAAGTATCCTGGAACCTTTGCAACCTGTTGTCTTCCCAAGATCCAGTATGAGGTGCTGAATGGTTCTGAATCATGCACAAGATAATTCAAACAATTAAATAATTTAAGAAAATGTCTTATAAACAGTGTTTCGTAGCAGTGATTTTCTGGTATGTTTGTATTTTTAACAAATTACCTGGAAGTGCTGTATAAGAAGAACCAGTTGAGAGATCCTTTCATCAGACATTGATGTATAGTTACTTGTACCATATACCTTTTTAAAATTAATTTGTCACATTCCTTTTCTTGAGAAATATCCTCCCCTTGTACAAGAAAGAGTGACCAAGGTAAAATTCCTTTCCAATTGACAAGAACTGACCAGAGGTAATCTTGTACATGTTTCGGAGATAGAAAGAACACTGGAGTGGCCTTTTTCCTTCTCTCCTGCAGGAAACTTATTCACACCTTAATATAATATAATATAATTCCCTGTGTAGTAGTCTTTGAGCCAATGAAGAACTTTTGATAATTCTGATTTGAGGAAAACCCCATTTCCATTTGGACTTAGAACTATTTAAGAACTTTTGATAATTCTGATTTGAGGAAAACCCCATTTCCATTTGGACTTAGAACTATTTAAGAACTTTTGATAATTCTGATTTGAGGAAAACCCCATTTCCATTTGGACTTAGAACTATTTAAGAACTTTTGATAATTCTGATTTGAGGAAAATCCTATTTTCATTTGGATGTAGCAGGGGCCTGTGCAATGTCTTGTGGTGAAAAATGCTTTTCAGACTGAAGCTTTAGTATGTGGTTTTTACTTCTGCAACAAATTTATTCTCTGTACAATTGTCCTCCATAAGCTCTGGATGCAGTTATTTTCTGATACTGTGTAGGGATTGGCAGGTCACTTCAACCCAGCTGTCAGGATAGATTCTAAATATAGCTCCAAAGTGTTTCTACTGGGGTAAAAATTGTAAATTTCAGTTTATTTGACTTTCTTTTAAGTCTGTTCTCCTGATGTAATAGAAGATTTCATAAATAGACGCTAAGAAGTTAAAACCTAATGAATATTAAAGTCATGTCACTTAAAGCCTTACTCTGCCTTGATTGCATGGACTTCTGCCCTTTGCACATATTATTTAGAAAGGAGTAGACAGGACAAAAAGGTTGAAATCCATCACAAACAATTTTTCTGGAACTTTTAGCTGTATTTGATGTTGTCTTACAGAGAGAGGAAGACTGGGAAGTGCCATTGTTTGTGATTTAAATTATCTCTGTTATTTTAATTCTGTTCACAGAAAAAAAATCCCATTAGAAGAACCTTTGCAGCCTTTTGCCAGTAACCAAGTAGGTAATAAATGAAAACCCACACATCCATATGCAGGAAGCTGGTCAATCACAGGGAATAATTGCCTTTCCCAGCAGCTTACTTTGAGGTGGGAAAGGCTACATATTTGTTCCTTACTGCAGTGTGTTTATAGATCACGCTGTGGCTTGGAATAGGAAAATAGCACTGCATAAAGATTGGTGCTATGATAGTTCAGCACTATGTAGACTCATATCTTAGAGGGGGTAGACCCAGGGGACAGTTTGCTCTGAGTCTCTTGTTACTATAGGAATTTAACCAATGTCTGAGAGAAAATTGGAATTTTGCAGAGACCAAAAACCCAACAGCATATAATTTAAGCCATAAACAAGCAATCTATCCCATTTTTTTGAAAAAATCCCTCTGCATTTTAGTTTCTAGGGTCTGAGCTCTAAAATCTGTTTTCTTGCAGGTCATCCTTAGCACCCATACTTACTCCTTTTGGGGACTGTGAGGTCTCCTTTTGTTACCGCAGGGAATGGGATATTCAGGCTGGGGTGTTTGTTAGATACTTCACAGGCTGCCTGCAGTGTCTTTTTTCAGCATGTGAAATAAGGAACAGACAGGAATCTCTGCTAGATTTTGAAGCAGAGGTTGTGACTATTGGAAGAATAGATCCATAGTCTATCAAAAATTCAGACATTGGCCTGCAGGGAAGAGTAACAAAGCAGATTGCTAAGTCTGGAAGCAAACTATGGTAAGAGATGTTTTCAAACTTTTAGGCCTCTAGGATCACCTCTATACCTTGAAAGACATTTTGTTTTGGTTTTTTTTTCTCTGTGTGTATAAAGAGAGAAATTTTATTTTTTTGCTGCAACTTTGAACTACTAGTGACAATGAACTGTTTCAGTCTGGAATATGGATTCAACTTGTCTATCTACCAGTAATGGGACATGGCAAATACAAAAATGTGTACTTGATCTTGAGGATTGGGAAAGGATATTTCTATTGACCACAGGAAAGTATTTAGGGACCTAAGAGGGGTACCTTGTATGATCTGCTGACCATGTGGGTATGCATCCATGAAGTGATAGATTGGGTAATATGAACAGCCTTATGATTTGAGGGTTCTTGTATCAAAGTGCCATCAATTTCCTAATTGGGACATAGTGCCATTTTATTTTATTTTATTTACCAAAATTGTTATAACTCATGAGCTGAAAAATAAGGGCCAGACTCAGGAAATAAAACACCACAAGAAATATTAATGCACAAGCAATTTGTATAAACAGTAATGAAAACATGTAAGTTACGTATAGGTTCTGTTGTAGAAGGTGAATTCACTATTCCTCAAGGCTGTGTAATTGAGGAGAACCTTGGATCAGCCATGTAATATTTGTGTATTACCACCTTTCTATATTGGTTTCACTTGGTGTGCCTTGCCTGGGAGAGCTGCACTGAGCATTGGCTACACCTGTGGTTTGAATCAGGTGCTGGCAATCCTGAAAGCTCTCACTTAGGGGCACACCGCAGCCCTTTGTCTTGGCAGTCTGAATTGGAAGTGTAGCTCCTGGGCTTCTTTTAGCTGAGGTCTGTGTAAGCCTCAGAGGCAGTGTTTGAGGAAGTCCAGTGCCACTAACCTTGTCTGAGTGTGAGTACTACCCTAATCTTATTCTTTAATAAATTAAATCCTTGTTTTTCCAGTGTGAAGTTCTATTATTATAGGTATGAGAGGATTTCCTAACATATCAATGCTGTCTTGGTATTGCATCTTGACTAAGTTGTTGGAAAATCTGTGTTATGAGCCTGTGTTACCTTTGGTATGATTCCTAGTTGCCTAGGGCTTTGTTTCTTTTAGTTGAAAATCAGTATAATTTACCTACAGGGTGATCACTCCATTAGATTTGGACCTGCTGTAATGCAGTGTTTTCTAAATGTTTGAGTTGTAATTCTAGAACTATGTCAGGTTTATACTTAGACATAGCTCAGTCTATCAGGAATATGTTATAGTGGTTTGTTTCTGTAGTATGTTTTTCCAGCAATGGAAATGACATTGGTAACAGCAGAGGCTAGGCTAAATCATCTGTATTAAAGTGTAATAAACTTATTGTGAGGACTGTCGGTGATTATTATGCAGAAGGAAGTGATTGATAATATTTCAGCTGATCTAAATTTTACTAGTATTCTCTCTAATTGTATTGGTGTCTGCAAGAAAACCTTTAAAATGTCTTTCTAGCTTTTGATTTTTTACTTTGGTCCTTTTAGAACAAGGGAGAATATAGGGAAAACCATATAGAAGTGAGACTAATTTATTCTTGTATTTAATTTGCATTGCATTTTTATGTAATGTTCTTCTGCTTCTAATTTGCAAAGAGCTGTTATGTCTGAGGCCTGTTGCTTCCTAAATTAAGAGCCATAACTCTTGTTTTGCAGGCTGTCTATGACTTTTATATATATATAAGTCACGGATCTAACATTGCAGCAGTGTACAGTTTCACATAACTGATACTCTAACAAGAACTTTCATATTCTCAGTTATGAAATTCCAGCTGACAGCCTAGCCTAGGAAAAAATAGATACAAAGATCTATGCTAAATTTGTTAAAGAAGAAAAATTTTAGGTGAACATTCAAATTGGGAATCTGCATCAAAGTGTTTTCCATGACTAGGACATAGTACTAGGAATCAGCAAAGCCTTCAATTATTATTGACTTCTCTGTCATGAATAAAGTGAAGGAATAGTTTGAAGGAGTTGTCAGGCAGTGTAATGCTGGGAGTAAGCTGGTGATAATAATATCATTAGTTTGGTCTAAAATTAATTTTTTTAATCAAAACCAGTCTAAAGATAGTCTGAAATGTTAAATTCTGTCAAGCTGCTGCTTATAAGAGAGCAATTTCTTTAAAACATGAGATTACTAGTAGGTTGAAGTCAATCTGAAAAGGTGTTATTTAAAAAAATTGTATTCCACAACTTAGCATGATGCTTCCAAGGGCTGCCTTTATTGTTCTTAACAGTAAGGATTGATTTTAATTGTCTGAAGCAATAAGGGTGTCAACTAAAACTGTCGTCCAGATGGAACTTTGTGATTTATTACTTCACTAAAAGCACAGCAGAAATGTAAATGAAGGAAAATACTGCAGGTAAGTGTTCCAAAACTTTGAATGAAGTTGCAGGTCCTGAAGTGGGACAGCCCTATCTTTTCCCTTTGCAGGAACACAGACTTCTGTTTGACATATTTAGGATTCTTTTTACTTATTTAGGATTTATTTAGCTCACTATTTTCAAAACTTTTTCTATCTTCGTTGCCTTCAAATGTATACACCTATACATTGTGTTATGTTTAACCCAGGCAGGCTTGAGGAACACCCGATGTTGGAAGTTTGTCCTGCTGGATATGACGTTTTCACTCTGGAACATTAATTTTTCTTTCTTTAATTGCATAGTTGCACTGCTGTCTTCATCTTCACACAGTGCTTGTGGCATTCAAAGCAAAATCTGGTTTATGTTCTGCTTTTTACTATTCAGGGACAAGAATGTTTATGATGTGTCTTTGGCTTTTTTCCCCTCTGTACTGTATTTATGCCATACCTATGTGCTTGGTAACTTTTCTTACAGTGAAATAAAAAATGTAACCATCACTTCTTCCTGGGAATGAAAAGAGGATGACAGTGCCCTTGAAATTAAACATCCATCTCACAATTTGATGCAGTTTTGGGGTTTTTATGTTTTTGGTTGTTTTTGTTTTGGTTTTTTTTTTTTTTTCTTTCCCCTTCAGACTCATTGCTTTTGCATCCAGATTATGATTTCTCCATGGACCTGGTAAAGATAGTGTGTTAGTCACAGGCATTAACTGGGAGCTTGCAGGTGGAGACAGATTGTGACAAGCTGGAGACATGAGAGCCTTTGGGTATAAAATAGGCCAGAACACATAGAAGCAGTCCAAACATATTTTCTATTTTGTTTGTGTATCTAGTGCCTTAATATACAGTACTGCCAAAAAATTTCAGTCAAGGGTTTCCTTGTGAGTCATTTTTTCTGTCCTTGGTCTTTCTGTGGTGCCATCAGTTCATACTGACTGGTGTGAACTGCTGCCCACCAGTAACCACAACTGATGTGAAACAGGCTGATAACTAACCAAAGCCTTTTATTTCATTATGAACTTCACCTGGGAGTTCTCCCTTCTGTTGAAGGTGACCTGAGTTATCCCTTGCTCATGGGATAGCTTGGCCCATTGAAGGCTCCTGGTGTTTTATACATGTTACATCAGAGGTTTTTTTCCAAATTATTTGAAAAAAGTGTGAATACTTGTGCAGTCTTGTGGAGAGCAGGCATTTTAAAGTCTTGTTGCAGTGTATAAATTACATTGATAGTAGAATACCTATTTTAGTATTACTTTAAAGTAAGGAAAATAATTGAGTGCTGGTATTTGGTTTGGTTTTGTTGTTCAAGTGGTTTGGCGGGGGGAAGGAAGTTGGGGCTTGGCATCTTTTGATTTTATGTGAAGTTTGTCCTATATATAGAGCTGGTTTTTTTGTTTGGGGGCATTTAGGGTTTTTTTGGTGTGGTTTTCCTCTTTTTTTTTTTTTTTTTCTTATCACCTCAGATTAGATGAGATTAGATTCTTCCATTGTGGAAGTGAAATTTTCTCTATCGAAACTTTTATTAACTAGTCAGTCAGTAGGTACTTTGGGACTGAAGTGCTTCAGCAAGTGATTTCATCATCTCAGATTAGATGAAATCCTTCCATTATAGAAGTGAAATTCTCTGTAGGAACTTCTATAACCAATCAGTCAGTAACTGCTTTGGGACTGAAGTGCTTCAGCTTCAGTAGCTGATTAGTAAACTGCAGTCTGAAGCCAGAATGTAAGAGGTGTTGTGTGCTTTGCACATATTGGGGCAATGGCTCATTAAGTTTTAATACACTGGATAATCTTTGAAGTTTGCATTTTCTCTTTGCTTTGTCCAGGATAGCAGCACGTGCAGGGAATGCACAGCAGCACAAGATACTTAGATTGTGTCAAAGGGCTTCTTCTACAGGACTTGTTCAAAGACAGCTCTGGGGGATTTGAGTAAGAGTTTGGGTGTGACTCCCCAAACCATTGCTGAAACAAACCCAAAGGAGGTAGCATGTGTTGGATAATTGCAATAACAACTTTGCTAAAGGGACTTTAGAGACCATTCTTTCCAGCTTTGCCATATGTCCTTCTCTTTCCTTTCCAGATGTTAGCATTTATAGGCTGGTAGCATAGCTTTCTCTTTAGAAGTATTTTCTTTCTGCTGATACTCACAGTAGTGGCCAAAAGTAATGGTAATGGCGTAAGAATCCATTGCTGGCTTTTGTTCTAACAGTGCTTCTGATCTTTCTTCTGTTGTTTCCTGCTACTGTGTAGATTAAGGCAATGCACAAGGGATAGCACTGGAAGCCTTTTCCATCGGGGTGGTATCTGTAGGAGAAGGGATTCTCTGCCAAGGCACGAGGCAGTTCTTGTGCTGTTACTGTACGTGAAGAAGAATCTTTCTGGTGGGGCAGGCCTGCAGAGCAGTTATATCTGAAGGTTGCATGGCCTCAAAGGCATGCTTTGGATTGTGGCTTCCTGTGTTACTGAGGTGGAAATTCTATGGCACCTTATCTTGAACAGCTGTGCAGCTGCCTTATGCATGGCTGAAAGACGTGGATCTGTGTATCAGCACATTCTATTTTTCCAATTATGATCTCCTGTCTCATGGTACTAGATGGGAACTGTCTAGTTCAGGAAGCATTTTATTTACTTCTGTATGGGTTATCCAAAGCTTCCTGTTTCTTTTAGGTCCTATGAGGGAGAGATTTTTACCGCCTCTTGGACTCTTCTTTCTCAATGCATGTCTAGTTTTGTGAGGGTTTTTTTCTCTCCTTGCCATCTTTTGAAATATGGACACTTGCTTGTATGATTGTTTACTTGGTCTTTCCCAGTCTCCATCTGTTTAATTTTAAATCCATTTTTGTTACACACAGAAAACAAACCTCAAACATATACCTCTAGCGAGGATGTTTTTACTCTAATATAAGCAGAAGAAAGTATGAGAATTTTCATTAAAAATATAGTCAGTGTATCCGCTAACCTCTTCAGAAATAAACTTATTGTCTCTTTTTACCAGAATGCTTGAAAGGTTTGCAAATGCATGATAGCAGCTTAGTAAATAATCAGCATATTGTAAATGTATCTTTTAAAGGCCAAGGAATAGCATAAATACTCTTTCAACTTGTGGATGACATAAAACATTTCCAGTTGGATCATGTATAGAGTAATTACTTTTGACAAGTTAATTTTGCAAGTGTCCAATTAAGCTATTCATTCCTAGCTTATCTCTTCACAGTGTGGCTGTATTCACTTAGCTGTTCAGGCTTGAATTTCTATTGTGCATTTAAATATGGATCCAAATTCATGGGATGTGAATTCATTGAAAGGGCAGTTCTTAATGTTAAGAGTTGAAACCCCCCAAATCACATCACAAGACGGACTTTAAATCAAGAGGGATGTAAGGCTACATTTTTTCTTTTTCCTTTCTTTTTAAAGTAGTAGTAAGTATTAATTACTTGGCTTCTATTTTTCCAAAACTGCTAAGATTAAGTCTCAGATTTTATTTAAACTAATTTTATTCACAATATTAAGT